CGGCATTCATTTACTATTTATGGATTTGGATTGGTCGACGAAATAAAATTGCTATGATTTGGTGGCTCCTTAGATATATTTTTGACACTTATTCTGTTTTCGTTGATGGTAGGCCCATACCTGGCCCGACTGACACCACATTCACAAGTGATTATTACTAAATGGCATCCGATAGGTATAACTATTTTTTGCAAAATGCCAACGTTCCATGAAAAAGACATCTAAATAAATTAACTAATCTTGTTAGATATATACAATGTCATTGTCTTCATATTACGTGACTGATTTGGTTTGGACTATAGCTATTGTTTGGTTACTATTATGTTTGAAATTCTTTTTTTTTTTTTTTTTGTTATCAATCATACGTTTTTCAATAAAATAATATTATTCGTAAATTCAATATTTTTTAAAAATTAAATTATTTGTACACAGAAAGTGTACATCTTGAATGATAGCACTTTAGGTGTAAAAAATTTAGCGGTTAATTAAAAAAATATGCTATCAAGATCAACGTACTAAAATTTGTCAACTCATATGCGTGTGAACCATTGTCTCAATCTTTATGTACAAGTAGTATGATTCTATTTTTTAATATTTATTTTTCATCAAAATACTATTTCAAAATATATTTTGAACAATAAGTAGGATTGGAACAGGTTCTATCTTTTCATTTTATAAAAAATAACCCGTTTGATTCTCATTATTGTAGAATGAGAATGAAAAATATAGTCGTTATTTGAGCCCACACAAGATATATAAATTCAAAATTGATGACTTGATGTGATAGATAACGATCATATTTTTTATTTTTATGGATGAAAAATGAGAAATAAACGGAGGCTAAATTTGTTCGAGATTGAGAGGGAGCCGTAAATTTGTTCGAGACATCAAGTACAAAATACCTAACTTGTGATTGAGGCCTTTTTGGTGTCATTTGTACGAAGATTCTCATTAAGAAAGATCACCAAGGGCTGTAACCGAAAAAGATAGAATACAGCTAATCTAACGGTGCATATCGACATTTAAAACGTGCGGTAGCTAAGAAAGCAAGATTGTATTATACTTCATTCTAATTGAGGAAATAAGGAACTACGTCGAACTCGATGAATAGTACTACAATATCTAATTATTTTTAATCATTAATTAAGGATCCGTTTAACATGATTTTTAACTTTTACGTTTAACAAAATTCTTAAAAGGAAATTATCTTAGGGTCCGTTTGTTTTGTTTAAATTTCATGGAAAATGTCACATCTGAGGAATTCAATTTCTACTTTGACTGTTTTATACGAAAGTGAAAATTGAGTTCGAATTTCAAGGTACAACCACTTTAAACTTTTTTTTTTTTTTGCCAATTTCATGAACAATGCATTCGTATGAGGTATTTGAATTTTTATTTTCCAACTTACATGGAATTGGAAATCATTTTCACATTTGCCAATCAAACGGACCCTTAATATTTTGTTTGAAAACTAATTTTTAAAAAAATCTTCCTATTTCAAAAGTGTTTTTTTAAAACTAATTTTCACTTTAATAAAATTAGTCAAACGAGTCCAAAAGTTATTTTTTAATTTCAAAAACTTATTTTGAGTTTTCAAAATCTATACCGAACATGCCCTAATATCCTTTGGATTTGGTGGAGGATTGATACATGCGCATGAAAACTTTGACATTTTTAGATTTTTCTTGGCGCATGAATCAGACATTTAACTCCCAAGTTTCATTGAAATCATCGTTGTAGTAAATATCATTATTAAGATCCCCGTGGCATGTTTGCTAAACATATTAAATAGGCCAGCACAATACGATATGTAATATTATTAAACACTTTTTCGATTTCTTCCGAACGTTAGTATTAAGTTGCACGAAAATGGAATTGAGAAATAAAATGTCATTTTTGATAAAGGTAAAGTATGAAACATTGCGGAAATATCATTTAAATTTATAATTTATTTTTATAAGCCAGTGTCTAATTTGAAAACAAACATTTAACATTATTTTGAAGTGTAAATGTGCCTCGTTTGGCCCCCATCCATACATTTTGCAATAAAATAATATTACACGTAATTCTAAAACTTGTTCTTTTCTTTTAATCACACATTTTTTAAAAAAAAGGTTGTTTCAACCATTAAAATTTCAAATAATGTGACCAAACGAAGTTTGTAGGACCTGCCATACGATGTTGGAGCTCATTGGAGATGGTGTCGTTAATTCGTCTATGTCACAAGTTTGCTCAGTCAACGATGATCTCCACCTTTCGTGTTGTTCATGTTGGGCCTTTGTTGTGATAACGTGTTGTTCTTATATCGCCTTTTTGGTATAGTTGAAAATTAGATTTTAGTGTATTTTGATAAAAATTGACGAAATTTGTGACGGGAAAGTGCTAAATCTCATAAAATGTACACTAAAATCTATTTGATTTTTTCCAAGACTTTCTATTTGCAAAAATGCACACTAAAATCTTAAAATTTCCAATTCCAGTCATCCTATGTCTATTCTCATTTGTCTATAAAAACCTTTTGCGTCACTTCGGGTTGAAGAACCAAAACCACTTTTTCAATGGCACGCCAAAATTCTTCCTTCCCCCACCAAAATGGCCGTGCTCAACCCCAAGTGGTGGTGGTAATGGTGCCTCTACCAGCGCAAGGCCATCTTAACCAGCTTCTCCACCTCTCCCGCCTCATCTCCGCCTACAATATCCCCATCCACTACGTTGGCACCAAAGCCCACAGCCGCCAGGCGAAGCAACGTGTCCACGGTTGGGACCCTCTTTCAGTAGAAAACTTCCATTTCCATGAATTCCAAATCCCAGATTTCCAATCGCTTCCTGCTAACCCTTATGCCTCCACCAAATTCCCCTCACATCTTCAACCGGCATTCAACGCAATGTCCCACCTTCGCCTGCCGGTCGCATCACTACTTCACTCTCTCTCAACTACTGCACACAGAGTTATTGTCATTCATGATTCTCTCATGTCGTCTGTAGTTCAAGATATAGCTTCGATTCCGAACGGCGAATCATACATTTTTCACAGCGTTTCAGCCTTTGCGATCTTCTGTTTCTTCTGGGAAGCCGTCGGAAAACCTTTTCTGATGGAGGAAGAAGAACTAGAACATCTCCCTTCTCTTGAAGATTGCTTCACAACGGAATTCATGGAATTCATCGACACTGAACAAAACTATATAGGTTTCAGCTCCGGCAGCCTTTACAACGCTAGCAAAGTTATAGAAGGTAAATACATTGATTTAATCAAAAAAATTCCAGGTGAAGAGAACAAGAAACATTGGCCTATAGGGCCATTCAATCCAGTGGAATTAACAGGTAAGAAAAATGGACGCCATAAATGTGTCGAATGGCTTGAAAAACAAGAACCAAAATCAGTGATTCTTGTTTCATTCGGAACTACAACTTCATTAACAGATGAGCAAATCACAGAGCTTGCAATTGGGCTAGATCAAAGCGGAGTGAAATTCATCTGGGTTTTGAGGGATGCAGATAAATGTAACATTTTCACAGGTGAAAATCGAAAATCCGAACTTCCTCAAGGGTTTGAAGAAAGAGTTAGAGAAAGAGGAATTGTAGAGAGAGAGTGGGCACCCCAATTAGAGATTTTAGCGCACTCTGCAACTGGTGGATTTCTGAGCCACTGTGGATGGAATTCATGCATGGAGAGCATTTCAATGGGGGTGCCTATCGCTGCATGGCCAATGCATTCAGATCAGCCGAGGAATGCTGTTTTAATTACAGAGGTGCTGAAAATTGGTCTGGTTGTCAAGGATTGGAAACGTCGGAATGAAATTATGAAATCGTTAACCATTTCTACTGCTTTGAAACGGTTAATGGCGTCGGAAGAAGGGGAGGAAATGAGGCAAAGGGCGGCGGAGTTGGGT